TGAGAGAGAGAGAGAGAGAGAGAGAGAGAGAGAGACAGAGAGACAGAGAGACAGAGAGAGAGAGAGAGAGAGAGAGACAGACAGACAGACAGACAGACAGACAGACAAACAGACAGACAGACAGAGACTGAGACAGAGATAGAGACTGATTGATACTGAGACAGAGACAGAAAGTGAGACAGAGACTGAGAGACAGAGAGACAGAGAGAGAGAGAAATAAAGAGAGTAAAGCACCTGTATGATGATCTTGAGGTGCGCCGCCTGAATAATAAAAGGAAGAAGAGGCTGCAGCTGCTGACTTAGCCTCTGCATTTCATTAGAAACCGCTGCTGCTGCTGCAGCACAAGCTGAGGTGTACGTACACCCCGCAGCAACAGCAGCAGGAGTACTCCAGCAACCTGCGAGCAATCTTTTGTTGCGGTCCTGCAGCAAGCAAAACAGATGTATTATAAACAAATAAATATAAATATAAATATAAATATAAATATAAATATAAATATAAATATAAATATAAATATAAATACATCTATAGATATAAATGTATGTAATGCATGCAAATATAAATATACATATACGTAATACAATAAAATATAAATAAACGCAAACATAGTAATAAATAAATATAAATATAAATATAAATATAAATAAACATCTACCTAGGGAAATAAATATAAAATATTTTATTATATAAATAAAAAATATATTATTTTATTATCTTCACCAGAAGGCGAGAGACATTAAATAACAGAAATAATCAAAAAATATATATTTAAAACGCACAGCATCCACATGAATGCAAATGCACTTAAGGACTGCAGCAGCAGAGGGCTCTGTTGCTGCTGAGGCCAGCAGCAGCAGCAACAGCAGCAGCAGCAAACAAGATATAGAGGGAGCTTGCGTGTGAGGAGAAGATAAAATGGAGAGCTTACTTTCGGGTTTATGGCCGTGCTGCTGCTGCTGCTGCTGCTGGCGTGAGCAGCAGCCGAGGCCTCTGCTGCTGCATCTTCTGTTTCTTTTTGTTTGCTGTTGCGTCGCTGCTGCTGCACTGCATGCAAGCAGAGGGGGGGTTTATGCTTCTTTAAATATATCATTTCGTTAATACTATCAAACGTTAAGGCTCGCTGCAGCAAGCCCCACACTTTCCCTTGCTGCTGCTGCAGCTCCCGCAGCTGCTGCTGCCGCCCCCGCTGCAGCACCAAAATCGCATGCAAACCCTCATCACACAGTTCTTTCCAACGCGCCCCACGAGGGCCCCCGGCAGAGGGGCCCCCAGCGGAGGGGGCCCCAGCAGAGGGGGCCCCCAAGGGGCCCCCATAGGGGCCCCCATAGGGGCCTTCTGGGGGGCCCCCATAGGGGCCTTCTAGGGTGCCCCCAGCTGCTAAGCCCTCACCCTTTTCTGAGGGCCCCCCTATTGGTATAGGGGCCCCTACATCAGTCGCCGTGAAAGAAAATGCTGCTGCAGACTGAGGGGGGGCCCCCTCTTCTGAATGGTTAAGAGGGGCCCCCTCTAGGGGGCCCCCCAATTGAGGCAGGGGGGTCCCCTCAGAGCCATTGATAGGGGGCTTTAACCCAGAGGTCACCATGCTGTCGCTGTCTTCAATGTGCTGCAACTCCTGCAGTATCTCACGGAGTCTGTCTTTGGCGCTGCTGGCGCTAGCAGCAGCAGCAGCAGCAGCAGCAACGGGACCTTCTAGAGGAACAGAGGGAAGAGAAACCCGGATAAAGTCGCGCAGCAAAACCAACAAAAAGTCATCGGCAGCCAACGCCACAGAAATCAAATGCCTAACAAACAAATGCGCTTGCACGTGCCCACGAAACGCCTCCTGCACACAAACCCTAAACCCTAAACCCTAAATACTAAATTCTAAACCTTCAAAATTAAACCCTAACCTGAAGACCGTAGACCTAGAACCATACACCGGAAAGAAACCTTAACCCTAAACCCTAAACCCCAAACCCTAAACCCTAAACCCTAGCGATCCCTTACGGATCGCTGAAAGAAGTCGTCTAGAGCCGTCAGCACTCCGCCTGTGGTGGTTTCTGCTTCGTGATTTGCTGCTGCTGCTGCCTTCTGGCATTCTGCTGCTGCTGCTTCAGCAGCAGCAGCAGCAGCCGCTGCTGCTGCTGCTGCTTCTGCTGCTGCCTCGTCTGAGTCTGCGGACCTCTCCAATGCCTCTGCATGTCTAGCAGCAGCAGCAGCAGCAAGAGCGACAGCATCCGCTGCTTGGTTGTGGGCCTCAGGATCTTGATGTATTACCTGGAACAGCCACATACACTCAAGGGTTTAGGGTTAAGGGTTTTGAAAAACCCTTTAATAAGCTACGCTTGGGCTCCAGGGGTTAGGGTTTAGCATTTCCAATTAGGGTTTAGGGTTTGGAATTAGGGTTTAGGGTTTAGGGCTACGAGTGACGTTTTAGGGTTTAAGTATTTGAATTAAAGGGTTTACGGCTTAAAATAAGGGTTTGGGGTCTCGGGTTTAGGGTTTAGGGTTTAGGGTTTACGTCTGTGATGTGGCGGACGGCGGCAGCAACTCCTTTCCTGAGGCTATCAATAGAGATCTGCTGCTGCATTTCGTGTTGCAGCAGCACAAACAGAGGCTGCAGCAACTCTTGAGGGTAATTCTGAAGAATATATGCCACAGGGCGCAGCAAACCCAGAAGCTCTGAGAACAACAGACGATTCGCCTGAGACGCACAAGCACACTAAACCCTAAACCCTAAACCCTAAACCCTAAACCCTTAGTCCATACCCTAAACCGTAAACGCTAAACCCTATTCGCTAGACGCTAAATCACGGGCCTACAGGCGGGCTGGGATTACGTGCATAGTTTTAGGGTTTAGGGTTTAGGGTTTGAAATCGATGGCTGAGGGTATGCGTTCTACGGTTTAGTGGATGGGGTTTAGGGTTTGGGGTTTAGGGACTGCGTTCTAGGGTTTAGGGTTTAGGGTTTAGAGACCTTCCGAGTGGAAATAAGCTGCGCGACTTTCCCTATGTTTGGTACTCTCCCGGACGGCAGCAGTAGCTGCTGCTGTTGCTGCTGCTGCTGCTGCTGTTGCTGTTGCTGCTGCTGTTGTTGCTGCGTGCATGCATTTGTCGATGGCGTGGAGGAGCTGCAGCCGAGCAGCAGCAGCTGCTGCAGCAGCTGCTGCATGGCATCTGCAACGGGAGCTGGGGGTGGCAGCAGCAGCAGCTTCTGAATGTATCTGCGGCAGCAGCAGCAGCAGCAGCAGCAGCAGCGAAATGAACCCGCAGCAAAAGGAGACAGCACAGGAGAACAGCAGCAGCAGGTATCAGGGCAGATAAAACAAACCAAAAAAAGAATAAAGAAAAACAGAGACAGAGACAAAGAGACAGAACAGCAACAATCAAAGAAAGCAGCAAAAGAAGCAGCAGCACGAGACGCAGCAGCAGCAGCAGCAGGAAGAGAAGCAGCAACAGAAGCAGTAGCACGGCCAAATGCAGCAGCACCAGAACAAGCAGCAGCAAACAAAGCAGCAGAATGAGCAGCATCAGCACCACCAAAGACGCAACCAGAAGCAGCAGCAGTAGCAGCATCAGCAGACTCAGCCGCATCAGCAGCAGCAGCATCAGCAGCCTCAGCAGCAGCACAAGCCGCAACAAAGGAAGCATAAAGGAATACCTTGCTGACTCTGCTGGTGCATGCGGGGGTAGAACAGACAAATGAAGAGGCGGGATCAGCACAGAAGAAGCAGACCCCAAACACTTTCCTTGATGAAGAGCGACTGAACTCAGCAAACCCAACTGCGACGCCGTCGTTGTTAGCAGAGGCTCAGGGCCCCTATAATTCACCCACAAAGGGGGCCCCCTAGAAGAGGGGCCCCCAGTAGGGGGGCCCCCAGTAGAGGGGCCCCCTGTAGAGGGGCCCCCTGTAGAGGGGCCCCCTGTAGTGGGGCCCCCAGTAGAGGGGCCTCCTGTAGAGGGGCCCCCAGTAGAGGGGCCCCCAGTAGAGGTTTGATGGTCTTTGATAGGGTAAAGAGAAGAGGAAGATGATTGGATTGACTGCTGCTTAAATGAGGGGGGGACCCCCTGTAAGGGGGGGCCCCCAGGTAATAGGGGCCCCTCCTGTATGGGGGGGCCCCCAGGTAATAGGGGCCCCCAGGCGTTATGCTGAGCGGAGCTAAGAGTAAAGGAGTTGGGGGGTATTGATAGAGCAGCAGAAATGTCGCGTAGAACCATCCTATGAAATGCTGCTGCTGAGGGGGCCCCCTATAATAAAAAGAAAGAGAGCAGCAACAAGCAACAAACAGCAGCAAACCAATAAATAAACAAACAACACAACAGGAAATGATTGCGTGCATGCGTGCGTATAGCCGTGCTGCTGCTGCTGCTGTTGTTGTTGCTGCTGTTGCTGCGGTTGTTGCTGCTGTTGTTTGCATGCATGCAGAAGACAAGAGATAGAACACAGGAGATTAGCAGCAAAGAGGAAAGAGATTGATGAAGGAAGCAAACATCGATGTAAAGAGAAGCAGCAACAAATAGCATTGAAAAAATAAACCCTGCTGCTGCAGCAACCGCCCAGATGCAAATGCTGACGAGGGTTTAGGGTTTAGGGTTTAGGGTTTAGGGTTTATACTTTGATGGTTTTCCTGGTGAGTCCTGGAAGGAAGGTCTTCACCATCTCTAACGCATTTTGTCTTCCCTGTGCATTTTCAGTGAGGTGTACATACACCTCAGCTCTGCTGCTGCTGCTGCTGTTTGCTCCTGCTCCAGCAAGAGCAGCATCAATTAATGTCTTTGCTCCCGCTGCAGTTAAGTGGGTCTGAATTTGCATGCGTCTCAGCTGTACGTACACCTCGCCGCAGCAAAACCCCAAAGAAGGAGAAAAATAAACAGAAAAACAAGGAAGAGCTCCTAAAGTGTTTGCTCCTGAAACAAACACATCAAACAACAACACCAGCAGCAACAACAGCAGCAGCAGCATCAACAACAACGGCAGCAGCAGCAGCAGCAACAGCAGCAGTAGCAACAGCAGCAGCAGCAGCAACAGCAGCAGCAGCAAACAGAAGAACGAAGCAGCAGCAGCAGACGCAGCAACAGCAGCAGCAACAGCAACAGGAGAATGTTGAATATGAATGTCTCAGAGTAAAGCTAATGTGCGTATTTTGGGGTGTATATACACCGCAGCAACTCGAGAAGAGAGAGAAGAGAAAAGTAAGTAGAGTGCCTCTGCGTCTGCTGTATACATTATTATTATTATTATTATTATTAATTATTATTATTATTATTAATTATTATTATCATTATCTACACTAAGAATAATATTAACAATAATAACACTAACGATAATAGCATAACATCATTACAATCAATGCAAATAAAAATAAATTATTATTCTTTGTAAATTAAATTAAATTAAATTAAATTAAATTAAATTAAGTTATTTAATTATTTAATTAATTATTGAATTAAAGCCTCACCGATATCCCCACGAAAGAGAGGAGAAGAAGGAAGAAAGAGCGGTGCAGAAGGAGAAACAACTTGAGACAGCACGCGAGTCTTCAAACAACGCAAAACGCCTAAGTTAGGAGATGAAGAAGAAGGTAAAGGGATCTCTTCGTAAACATTTACAGTAAAACCCTATTGTCACACAATCACGCATGCATATATTGTTATATATATAAATATAATATATATATATATATGCATATATATATATATATATATATATATATATGTA